GAATGAGAAAACTTAAGTATAGGCTAACTAATTAGTGGTGCTGGATTATAGTTCCTAGATTAAGTCGCTAGTACATCTATATCTAACATTAATGTTAGTTCCTGTTATTTCCCTTTTTTTTGCCTTAGGTTTGGATCTAGATGTAATAATAATGACAGAAATTTAGCTTTATACATCTAAATTAGACCTTAGATTTGGGTGCATAGATTGAAAGCACCTTGTACTGAATCTACCCAGATATAGATATATATAGAACACCACCATCCTATTCTTAACTGAATGGAGCAATCACACCCAGGAAGAAGCCTCCTTGGACCACCATCCCAGCAGCTAGGAGCTGGTAAGTGGCAAGGACACCTTTACTCAATTGGAAAAAGGGGGGAAGAGTGAACTGGGGAGTACAGAGGAATGCTGCACAGGAGAAAGTGCAATGGGTAACTGTGAATCCCTATTTTAAAAAGTCAGGCTGAACCTGAAGTATGAACCTTTACTTATGATAGTCCATCAGTGTATAGTCTTAGATGAACATACTTCTGATGTAATATACTATGAGGATGAACTGAAAAGCAGTCTGGCAGAACACCCTATCTCAATAGTGAGCATTATAGAACTTAAAGGCCATACAGTGCAGATTTAAAAATTTACCTGTGAAGAAGAGGGAGGATGAAAATGGAATCCAAGATATCCCAAACAAGATTCTATAGATCTTGGAATAGCCACTGAATATTGTACAAATGAGTACGACTCAAGTGAAAAATGGGGTTCCATGGAAGTCCAAGTCCTCAAAAGTAATAAAACTTCATTATCAGTGAATGCAAGAGATGATTCAGCATTGAAAATCCATTAGCTCCATCAATCACACTCAAAGTGGAGAAGGCTGGGTGTGATTGAGATAGGTGTTGAAGAAAACCCTAAGAAGGATGAGGTATTGGGTCAGGATAAGGAAGAATATCCCCACTAGACAAACCAACCCACATGTGTATCTTTCCAAAGTGTGTGAGTGTGAGAAGCCTACATCAGAGCCAAAGGCAGTTAATAGTCCATGTGATGAAGAAACTGTAGACCATGTGAATGTGGGATATGAGCAATGGCCTTGACTACCCAACAGAAACAAAGAAAATCACAACCAGACCCATTGGTAAGACCACATTAAAAAAATCTCGGAAATGTGGAAGAAATTAGGGAGGTGAAGGGAAGCATCTGAAACATCCACCCAGAGTAAAAACTCACCAAAGGGTGAGAAAAAAAGTTCATAGCAGACCAAGGTAGGACAACAAAAAGGCAAAGCTTGAAAAATAATCACAGGACGTCCAACCTGTTCAAAGAATGAATTACAAACCAACTGGCAATAGAACCCCCAGATAAGGGAAAAGTGACTGTTAAGATAGCATCCCTATGAAGAAGAACTTGTAGTGTTTCTGACAGATGCTGGCAATAAAAAATATTATCTCGAGGAGAAGGTAAGGAAAAGATCTGTGAGGAATGGAAAATGGGGAAGGGAGAGTCCTGCCATATCCGAGCAAGTAGAATAGAAAACAAAACAATTTGCATCAGTCATCTTGGGAATGGTATTTTTCAAACACTGTATTGCATGATAAAGCATCCAGATCTGTATTTATATTAGTCTTGAGTTGTATTTTCTGATTTGTTTGGTTGAGGACAAACCCAGGATATTTGTAATTTCAATGTTTATTCTCTAACTCTTAATATTTCCTGCTCCTTAAAATCTAAATGAATAAAAAAAAGAGAAACAATCAGAAATTTTAGTTAAACATTAGTCATCACTTGCGATGTTAAATTTCTTTACCTCATTTTCCATTTTACTTATGACTGAATTTGAGCATGACTATATCTGCTCAAAATGCCAACAGATTAAGTATGGTGCTTTTTTGTGAATGTTTTCATGATTAACAATATTTATCTAGTTATAATGGGCAATTAATGAACAGAATAAACTAATAACTAAAACACAATAGCTTAGCGTTTGAATATAATATGGTTAGTTATTTTCCTTGAATTTTCAAAGACTAAAGAATATAAACCACGTTTCTGAGGTTTGGATTTATAATTATACATTTTCCAGGGATTTCTACATTTTTATGCATTTGTGCAAATCTTGATCTTAGATTTTACCCACAAGAAGTAAAAAAGGTTAAACTATTATAAGCATAATAATAATGCTTATGTTAGCATTATAGGTAACCAAAATCATTCACAAGTGGGGCAGGTTCCATAAAAAGCAAAGAAGAAAACAACCAGTAACCTGAACTAGAAAAGAAATAGTCAGAAGGGAACCAACCATCTGATGTGTGAAAGCAGGAACATTATCAGTTATCCCTTTCGAGACAAGTTTGTTGACTTGCATTCAAAATTTTATTGAACTACTATTTTATGAATTTATGTCAATAAGTTTGGTATCAAACTGTAGAT